ACTCCTCTCCTTAAAATCCCTGTGTGGTGGCGGCGTGCCGTTCTCCCATCCCTCCCTTGGGTTGTCTGTTTTCTTTCTTTTAGGCCGCGACAGAGGAGGAAACGACAGGAGGGAGAGCGACGAGAGTGGGACGACCGCGAGGTGGCATGAAGGTTGCAGCGAGAATCGGAGAGGGACTGCGAAGAGAGATAGGAAGAGGCAGACGACCAAGGGCAGGAAGGGTGCCCACAGGACCCGAAAAAAAATGGGCCATCGGGGTCGTCGATCACGTCGGCAACGGAGACGGGGTTGACGTCGATGAAGCTCGACGTCTCAGACGTCTCAGACTTGACGGAGGGGAAGCCATACTGGATGGCGGCCACTCGGGCGACGCTCGCGAGGTAGACGAGCGCCGCAGCGGGCCGCATCAGCGAGAGAGAGAGAGAGCGACTCAAGGAGAGCTTGTAAGCGTAACACGAAAAGAAGGAAATATCGACAACACCTCAAGGGACTAACACGATCCTGCAAAAGGGAGCGCGAATGCACTAAGGTGGCTACGCCTCATCCTACAAAAGGGAGCGTAGAGGGGTGAGTCCTGCAGAGGAGGTGTGAAGACGCGAAGCGTGGGTTATGAACAGACGAGAAGGCCAGTGCGCGCTATGAACAGAGTGAGTGTGCTGCTGCTGGGCGCTGGGAGTGAGAGGATGAGAAAGTGCCCGGGAACACATACAGAGAGGGACGAGTGCACGCATTGGGCATCAGAGAGCCATAAGTGTCTGTTGCTGTTTGGCTTGAGCCAAGCAGGCACACCCGCGCGCGAGTGATTAGGCCAGGCCCGAAGCCTGACTCAAGCCAAGGTGGAGCACAGGGACAGGGACACTGTACTCACGTACTGACATCCCGCCCCGCGCCAGGGGCGGTGGCGCGCGCCGCGCCGGGACACTTTGGACCCGCAGCCTGGCATACGCCAGGCCACAGATCCGCCGGCAGAGCCTTATTTCTGCATCCGCGATCCGCGCCGGCTCTCAGGAGAGATCCGGCGCGGTGCTGACCGCGTCCTCGCAGGCCACCGAGTTCACGATGGTGTCCGGAGGGAAACGGTGCAGCTGCGGCATGTGTGTCGCAGTGCGGCATGCCGCAGTGCGTCACGCGGCGCTCCTGCAGCAGCGCGCGCGCGGTGGTGAGGAGGGAGCAAGCCCTTGAGCTGTTGGCGTAGTCCATCGCCCGCGCACGCGCGCCGGCCTTGAGGTGGTTCCACCAACAACTGGCCCAGGGGTTGAGACCCTGCGGCGTTCACGCACGGACCCGCCTCGGTATGCGTATGGCTAACCTGGGTCGCCTTGGACGTGTACCTGTGGCCTGGGGGGGGGGGGGGGGTAGTGGGGAGGGTGGCCGGGATGGGGGCGGTGATGAGGGGGGCAGCCAAGTTCCCTAGCCAGTCCTGGCGAGGCCCGGCGAAGAAGTGCCCGAGGTGAGGGAACCCATCAGGCGCCGGGCACGCGCGCAGGGCGGAGAAGGGGGAGAGGGGCAGATGCTGTGTGGGCCACAGGTAGGGGTGGGTGCCGCGCCTCCGAAGGAGGGGGAGGGACCGTGTCGCGAAAGCCCTGCCGGGGACACGGGCGCATGCAGGGAGAGGTAGGGGGGAGGAGGGGAGGAGAGGGGGGGGGAGTAGGTCGGAACCCTACTGCACTGCCTGGAGGTCAGCCCCACGAGGGGGTCAGCCCTGCAGTCTCGCAAGTAGTGAGGCGACAGGAGAGGGGAGGAGGGAGGAGGGTCAAGGCGCAGGAGGGGCGGCGGCGGACACGCCGATGGTGTCGAGGCGGAGGGCATATGGGAGGGCATATGGGAAAGATCAGGCGGCGCAGGGCGAGCCCGCGCCTCAGACGAGGGCGGGTCGCCTTGGACGTGTACCTGTGGCCTGGGGGGGGGGGGGGGGGTAATGGGGAGGGTGGCCCGGATGGGGGCGGTGATTAGGGGGGCAGCCAAATTCCCTAACCAGTCCTGGGGAGGCCCGGCGAAGAAGTGCCCGAGGTGAGGGAACCCATCAGGCGCCGGGCACGCGCGCAGGGCGGAGAAGGGGGAGAGGGGCAGATGCTGTGTGGGCCACAGGTAGGGGTGGGTGCCGCGCCTCCGAAGGAGGGGGAGGGACCGTGTCGCGAAAGCCCTGCCGGGGACACGGGAGAGGAGGCCCGAAGTGAGGTAGCGCCCGGTCGGGAGGGTGGCCGGGATGTGGGCAGTGGGGAGGGAAGAGAAGTCGGCTCGGCTGCGGTGGAAACACAGCACCATTGATCACAACGGAAGGAAGACAGGGGAGGAGGAGGGGGCGGAGGACGGCGGTCGACGGCGCTGCAGATGGCGGGGCTGATGGGGGTGCTGATGGCGCGCGGCGGTGTGCGGAGGGCAGCGGCGCGGCGCCGCGGTGTGCGGAGGACGGGAGCTACTCGCGCCGATGGCGAGCGGGGAAGGAGGGGCGGTGGAGGCGAGGCTGGGGAGAGCCGGGTCAGACGCTGACGGGGGTTGAAGGGTAGGGCAGGCTGGTGCCCGGGGAGAGCGGTGAGGAGGGATTGCTGGGCTGGCGCACATGCTGGTGGACGCTGCGTCCGCTCACGGCGCCGCGAGGAGCAGGGACGGCGCAGGGTGGTGAGCCTGCGGGGACCGACAGTGTCCCGAGAGCCTGCGGGGGCCGTCGCAGGGGAGGAGGGCCCGAGTGAGACAGGGCATGCTTCACGAAAGCGAGGGCAGCGGCGGAGTGGTGGGGCTGTGAGAGGCGGGCGCGTCTGCTACATTTGCGCGAGCGGTCGGCGCAAAAACCTGTGGCCTGACCTCGGCTGTAGACCGGCGGACGCGCAGAGTGCTGATGCAGGAAGGGCAGAGCACGCCTGAGGGAGAGCTGGGATGCGGCAGGTAGCACCAGGCGAGAGCCCGCCGGCTTTTTGCAAAAACAAAGAAAACGCGGCTCGGCCTAGTGAGTTAAATCGCGGGAAAGACATACAAGTTAAAAGCGGAGGGAAGCTGTAAGCCGGTAAAAGAGAAAGAGGCACGAGAAAAAGCGAGTGACAATACTCGGCGATCCCCATCTCGAACGTATCACTGTTCGCTCACGGTAGGGTGCCCACAGGACCCAAAAGAAAATAGCTTTCCGGCTCAAAAAGGGACGCACGAGGCAAATCTGATGTTGGCCAGTTCCAATAGGAGAGAGGCCTCTTCCGTTGGGGGACCGAGTACATAGGAAACGAGGGTTCCCCGCGTTTGTCACGCGCGAGCGCGAGCGTGACACTGCACTTGGCGCCGAGCGCCCGCGGCTCAGACCTTGTGCAGGCCACCCCTCGGTGGTCACGCCGGTCCGGACCGATGGCGCTCGGTGTGGAGCAAGCAAGACCCCCCCCCCCCCCCATCGGCGCGCGCTCGCCATTCCAACGGCCGCCAGGAGCACCAAGAGGACTCCTCATGGCTGTGACCAAGTGGGATTCGACCGCGGGTTTACGCAAGGGCCCTCCCTGTGGGGGGGCCCGTGAACATCTTTAGCTTGTGAGCCAGGAAAAGGGTTGCAATTCACACCTCGCACCGAGGACCGAGCCCTCCCCCGCATGGTCCGCGCCGGTATCATTCAAACTCTTTGCGCTTCCGCCGTACCCGCGCGCCATTAGCGCCCTCCTCGCCCAGCGCATTGCTTAGTGGTGCGCTCGCCTCCCTCCCTCCTGTGCGACGCTCACTCGAGCGCGTTGTCTGTCTTGGCGCGCGCGCAGCGCGCGAAGTCCGAAGAGGCGGTGTGAAGAGGGGGGTCGTGTCCGGTGTGAAGGGTACCCACCAGGGTATATCAGCGTATCCTCTAGGGGCCCAATGCGGGTCCTCTCAAGAGGGTATCAGGGTATAGCCCTGGGGTATGATCTGGGATACGATGATACTATACCAAGCTGAAGTACCGAATCCAGGAGAATCGTGCTTTCAGTGGGGTTGTTTGGGTTGGGTTGGTTGGGGGTTGGGTTGTTCCGGTAAGGGCGTCTACGCCCTTAGTTCCGGGTGAGGTTGGGTCGTCGGCGCGAAGGGTGAGGTCTCGACCGCCGTCGCTCACGTCAGCGGACGGCCACCATCGGTGTTTTTGGCTTCGCCACCGTCCAAGGCGTGCGCCATGCGCTCGCCGGCATCGAGCGAGCACGCCTGTCCGACGAGCGGCTTGCTGTGTGGACGCCTTCTTGTGGCTCTCGCCGAGAGCGTTTTGCGTCCCGGCGGGTGGGAGAACATCTACTCATCATCACGGAGTGAGCCGGAAAAAGCGACATAATCGGACGGTGCCGAACCGTGATCGAGTACTGTGATCTGTGATCTGTGAGGGTCCGCCCGCAGGCGCATTTTGTATACCGAGGCGGTGCCCGGTGCGCGGTGCCGAGCGCAGGCAGAGCCCACAGGTCGGACCTTAAGACAGCATTGTAGATCCCTGGGCGAGGGTGATGGCGTCCCCGTCGGGAAGGGCTGAAGGCGGGGGAGACCAACCCGATCTCTCCGGCGTCCCGGGAGCGTGATTGACACCTCCCCCCGTGCCAACCAACAGCCGAGTACTGTACTTTACAACGCACTTACGCGGTCGCGGGTCGGGTCCAACCCGTGAGGGCGGGTTTTGTCGAATCGGCCGGTGCAACCTAGGTGCAACCGTGATCGGTACTACGTAGCGAGCCCGACTTTTGTTTGTGAGCGCCAAAAGGAAAATGCAAAAAAACTTGTCCGCTCCTCTGGAGCGCTCGATGAGCTCTGTGGCTGTGCTCAGTCATGGTTGCAGATGCCACGTTGCCAGAGGAAGGAGCATCCTCCACACTCACCGGCATGGATGTTCCGTTCCTTCAGCCATCGGCTCGTCCTTGAGCGCAGAAACTTCACACGCGTCCCGGCAGCTGGGCAACAGATCGATTCACGAGCCTCATCGAGGTTGTTGGCACTTCGCACGTCACGACCATCGACTTCAAGTACCTCGTCGCCATGTTTGATGATTGCCTCAAGGTTGTGTGCTTCGCCAGATGCCTCATTTTTCAGTTCTGCGTTCCAGTCGCGTCCGGATTCTCGTGAAACACCTCCCCGCAATGCGCACACGAATTCGACAAAGAGAGGAGTCGCAGGCTGAGTGGTCACTTTCCACATTCGTTTGTGGTGAGACCACTGAAGCTGGGGCCGTTTCCCGTCACCTACTGGGTGATGCAGGTTGTGAATGTAGTAAACTTCCTCCCATGGTCCAAAGCGCCGCTCGCCAATCTGGACGTTGATTTCGAAAGTGTCGTCGGGAATGCTAGCCTCCTTGCTGACGGAGCAAAAGCAGCCAATGTCCGTTAGCGCCGGGCAACCATCGTAGACAGCTTGGTACGACTGATAGGTCAGCTTATCGCAACCATTCAGCCAGAGCTTCTTGAGCATGCTGCAATTCTGTGCAATCAGGGCCACGGTCTCGTCTGTGATGTCGGGGTTGAATGTCAGGCCAAGGTGCTGCAGGTGCGAGCCGCATCGTTGCACGAGCTCAGCAACAACAGCGTGGTCAACTGGCGTGTGCGAGAAACTTGCGACGCATACGAATCGCACACTCGATATGATGTGCATGAGCTCCTCTCGCGTGAGCGCACATCTAACGAAAAGGTGTCGTATGTTGTCAAACCGTTTCTGCGACGTCAGTAAGATGGTCCCAAATTCGGGCCGGGACGTCATCTCCAGCTTCACAAGACTGGACTTGTAAAACAGAACAGTCGAGTTGATGTTGGCGAAGGTCAGGGCGTATGTGAGGGCCATCCCGTTGTAGCACCGTTTCAGATACATGCTCCAAGCTCGGGAGTCAGGATTTATCAGTTCGCCCCCAACCTCCCCGTGTCTGACGTCGTTGGCTCAAACTCCCAACGCCGCACAAGCATCTTTGCGCCGATCTCCATTGCGACCAAGCGCACGCTCCTCTCTTCATCACTCTCAGCGTCGAGTAGGCTGAGTATTTCGAGTATGACCGAGTGGCGCACGTCCGAGGTTTGCAGATGTCCGTGTTCAAGGGCGTAGAGGATCTTGACTAGTAGCGCGTTGCGTGATGCCATTGGCAGCACCACCTCGCCGAGCGTCGACAGTAAATTCAGCACCTCAAGCCCAGACAGACCCGCCAGCGTGTCGGCGCAAAGCTGCTGCAAGGTGAGCGGCTCGTTCAGACGGCTCATATATTTATTCAGAAGCGCGTGTCGACCGTGTCACGAGCTCACGACCGACCTGACCCGACCGCGTCATTTGTCAGGACAAGTATGAGAAGTAGACCCTCCCACTATCCGCTTCATACGCGACCGTTACGTGCGAATTCCAAAAGAATATATCACTGCAGTGTTCGGCACTACCTGCAATTGACCCTATTCTGACTCCGCAAAAGAAATCTGCCGCTGTCATCCGGCGCGACGAGGCGATAGTGTACATGAGCCTGGCAGCATCTCCCAAGAAGAAGGGGCCACGGCGACGAGGCCCCCGGCGATCCAAGCGGATCAATGAGACGAGCCTGCAGCCCAGCCACGAGCCTCAAGCTCCATGCCCAAAGCGCACACGCACTACGTCGCCGCTGCCTCCGCCCTCCGCCGTCTCGCTGCCTCCGCCGCGCCAGCCGTTGCCGCCGCATCGGCTTATCCTCGCCCCGATGGTCGGCGGCAGCGAGCTGGCCTTCCGGCTCCTCGCTCGGCGGCACGGCGCGCAGCTATGCTACACGCCGATGATCCGGTCCGAGGAGTTTGCCGTCCCACTGCTGGAGCGCCACGCCGACGACTGCCCGCTGGTCGCCCACTTTTCGGGCAACGACCCGCAGACGCTGCTCGACGCTGCAAGGCAGGCCGAGCGCTGCCGCGGCGTGGTGGCGGTCGACCTCAACCTCGGCTGCCCTCAGCGCGCCGCGCGGAGCGGCAGGTTTGGTGCCTTTCTGTGCGACGCCGCGGACCGCGCGCTGCTGCTCCGGATCGTGAGCACGCTGTCGCGCTCGCTGTGTGTGCCGCTCTTTTGCAAGGCAGAGGATTCTCAGCCGCAGCCCTCGCCGCCTCACCCACACCCGCTCCCCGACCGCCGCTTCGCCGCCGTTCCCCCGCGTCTCACACAGATCCGGCTGCTCGACGAGATCGACGAGACGCTCGCCTTCGCGCAGCAGCTGCAGGACGCGGGCTGCGCGCTGCTCGCCGTGCACGGACGCTACCGCGGCTCTCCGATGCGCCGGCGGGACGGGCCGGCGCACCTCGACCAGGTCGCCCTCATCAAGCAGAGGCTCTCCGTCCCGGTCGTCACGAATGGCAACGTGCGCAGCGGCGCGGAGCTAGTCGATTCACTGCTGCTCACGGGAGCAGACGGGGCGATGACGGCGGAGGGGGCGCTCGACGACCCGGCCATCTTCGCGAAGGCCATCGCGCACGCGCACGCGGAGCGGTCGCGGCTGGCGGCGGAGCGGAGGCGCGCAAAGGCGCTCAAGGCGCAGAGGCGCGACGGGAGGCACCTGACGGAGGAGGAGGCGGCGGTGGTCAGAGGCCGGAAAGCCGCAAAGGCCACTCTCGCCCAGATCAAGGCGATCTCGTCCGCCTTGCCACCGCCGCCCAGCGCCGCGCCGCCGCCACCGTTCGCGCTTGCCGAGCACTACATCGGACTGGTGGAGGAGCACCCGCCGCCCGGTGGTGCAGCCGCGCTGCTCTCGCACGCCGTCTTCCACCTGAGGCGGCTGTGCCGCACCCCGCTGGCAGAGTTTGGGCTCCTCGCCGACCTCGAGGCATGCAAGAGCCTCGCAGCGTGTGCGGACGTGATCCAGCGGTGCCGCGCGTTTGCTGAGGGCTCGGAGGCGTTCCAGGGGCGGCGCCGCCCGCCGTCGTATTGGCGGAGGCAGCAGCGGCGGAAAAAGATGTGATCGGTATTTTCGTGTTGCAGTATCCGTGAGTGTGTCATATCAAAACCGCGCCCGACGGAAAGGCGCCGACCCGTAACACACTGTAGCTGTGGGACCTTTGCACACGAGCTGACAGAACCCTCCGCAAAACGAACCCGTCACCACTCGCACGGCTGGTAGTCCTTCACGAAGCGGCCGTACACGGGCGGCTCGCCGTTGGCCGCCGAGAGGATCGGGTCGAGGATGCGCGCCGCGGCGTCAACCTCGTCGAGCGGCGTCTGGAAGTGGTGCTTCTCGGCCGTGCGCGCCGCACGCTGCAGCGGGTTCTCGTCGTTGATCCAGCCGGTGTCGATCGAGTTCATGTAGACGCCGTTCGCGGCGAGCTCCTCGGCGCAGGTTCGCGTCATCATGTTGAGCGCCGCCTTGGCCATGTTGGTGTGCGGGTGGTTGGCCGTCTTGTACCGGTAAAACTTGCCCTCCATCGCAGACACGTTGACGACCTGCCGCGCGGCGACGGGCGAGCGCTGCAACAGCGCGCGGAGCCGGCTGTTGAGGATGAAGGGCGCGAGGGTGTTGATTGCGAGCACCTATCCCCACGCCAGGCCGTCGGGTGCAGACGCGCGAGGCACCGCCCGCCCGGCGGCGGGAGCGCGCCTCCGCCACCTCGCCGGTTCGCACCTGCCCCAAGCGGAGCAGCCAGCTGTTGGTCGTCCGCAGGTCCAGCTGCTGCCCATTCACGTCGTGCGCCCCCGCCGGAAACAGCGCCGCCGCCTCCTCCCCGCCCGCCTCACCCGCCTCGCCCGCCTCTCCCCCGTCCGCCGGCGCGCCCCAGACAGGGAGCTGCGACCAGAGCGCCGATGGGACGGCCGCTGCCGGCGCGGCCGAGCCAGCGCCGTCGGCGGGCGCGCCGACTAGCCGGCCTCCCTGCGGCACGCCTTGCGACAGCTCGCCCTGCGAGCGCTGCGGCGGCGCCGCCAGCGGCGCGAGTAGCTGCTTCGAGGCGGGCGCAGCGAGGGCGGCGGCGGCGCCAAAGCAAGCTTCGTGGAGGGCCAGGCAGCGGCGGTGGTCGGCGGGAGCCTCGTGCGGCGCCAGCTCCTTCTCGATCAGGTGGCGGTAGTACTGCGCCGGCCTGCGGATTGTCTGGCACGCGTTGTTGACGATGTCGGACAGGTGCGCCTCGGTGGCGTCCAGAAAGTCGCAAAAGCGCTCGAGCGCCTCGAGGTCGCGCAAGTCGAGCCCGAAGATCTGCAGGTTGGCCGACCAGCGGTCAAAGTCGGGCAGCGCCGCGAAGCGCGCCGCCGCATCCACCGGGAAGCGGGTCGTCGCCAGGACGCGCGCGCCGCACCGCAGCAGCTTGAGCGCCGCCTGAAAGCCAATCTTGACGCGCGCGCCAGTGAGCAGCACGACGCGGCCTCGCAGGTCGGCGGTCTGCAGCCGCTTCGCCTCGTTGAGCGCCGCGCAGCCGGGGCAGAGGGAGCCGTACAGGTGGTGCAGCCGCCGGTACCGCACTTTGCAGATGTAGCACGCGCGGAGATGGAGCAGCTCGCCCTCCCCGTCCGCCTCGCCGCGGCCGCGCGCGAGGAGGCCCGCCTCGGTCGATCCTCGGTCGGATGCACCCTCTTCGGTCGCCTCTTCCGCGCCCGCCTCGCGGAGGCGCGCCTCTGGCTCGCCGCTTCCGCTCGCCTCGCCTGGCGGTGGCAGCGCGAGCGGCGCTGTGCTGTCGCCGCCGGTCTGGCGGTGCTCGAGGAGCAGCCCATCCACCATCCCGACGGCGCCGTCGGGCACGCGCGGGGCATCGGCCGACTCCAGCGCGCCGAGCATCTCGAGCCGCTCGCGGCGCATCCGCGTCTTGTCTGTTGCGGCCCGATCGAGTGCCTTTTGCTGCTGCTCACGCCGGTGGCGCTCGCGCTGCTTCTCCTTGCCTGCTCGTATCTTGTCGATCCTGCTCGCGCCCGTCGTCGACCGAAAGTCCTCGATGAGAGGCAGTAGCGCCAGCCGCAATGGCTTGAGTCGAGGCGTGTAGAAGGCCTCGGACGGCTTGGCAGCGGCATCTCCCTCAGCGGCGGTGCACAGCCGCCGGAGCACACCGATGCACGCGGCCAGCTCGTCGTCGGTGATGATGGCCTCGCTGCCGTCCGTCGAGGCGGACACTGTAGATGTGGCGGCCAGCATGCAGCGGCGGCGGTCGATGGGCTGTGCTACACGCCCTGTGCTGCAGTGCGGGGCGCGTGGTGGCGGCGGTGGGCCTACTGATTTTTTTGTTCACCCTTGGGGCCCCCTGTGTGCGGGGCGGGCCCCTGCCCAGGGACGACGGCAAGAAACCCAAGGGTGAACTTTTTTTGGAGTCGAGAGACCAGTGTCGAGAGCCCCCCCCCCCCCCCCCCATGTGTGTGTGTGTGTGTGTGCGTGTGTGTGTGTGTGTGTGTG